GCTCGTCGGGCCCTCTCTGCGATTCACAGAGGGCCCGCTATAGCAGAGGTGTGGACTTGAGTCACATGACTTGGACTCGATTCAGACTCGAGTCACCAATTTGATGACTTTGGACTCGACTTGACAAAATCACAAAACACTTGCGACTCGACTTGGACTTGAACACCAATGACTCGGGACTTGACTTGGACTTGAGCCTTCTGACTTGAGGTGACTTGATAATTTAATTCAGAGGTCTCCGCTAGAGATGCCGCTAGAAGAGCAGACTCCCGTCGGGGAGAGCAGAATCTCCAGCCGCTTCTACTCTTGCTGAGAATCCATGCAGGCAGGGGCGGGTCTTTATTTCGCTGAGCCACCATGCGGCCAATCATATGCGAGGACACACTAGGATCATACCATTATGTGAAAGAAGGGTGGGGGGCAGACGCTCCAAAGACAGCAAGTGTAGTGGTACAGGCCAGCTACACAGAGCGACGGGGAGACAGATTTAAATGCAAGCGCGTCGGAAAAAGTCAAGAAATTTGCGAAAACCGAAAAAAGAAGCAGCATCTGGCTGCATTTCAATGATATTGGAGAAAGCAAAGCTGAGTGCAGGATTTGTCAAATGAAAATAACCTTCAGACCTTCAGAGCAGGGTTTTGTTTTGGTAACCACTCAGGATTTATTGTCAGAGGTGGGAGAAGTTCAGATCTTGTACTTGAGTAAAAGTACCAGAGTGTAGGAATACCCGGTTACAATAAAAAGTCCTGCATTCAAAATGTTACAAGTAAAAGTACAAAAGTATTATCATCAAAATATACTTAAAGTACCACCTGCAGAGGGATCTAGATTCAGGTGTTCTTTTCCCCATAGAGACGCCTCGCTGCACATTATCCCTTGCATAAAGATAGATCGTGGGTCCCTTATAACATGTTGTACACAGTGGAAATAAACATTCTGGTCACCTCAACATCAGGGATCTAATACATTAAACTCCTTCTGAATCAAACCGTCACGGTAGCCTTACCTTACTGATCCCTCTTAAAATAGAATAAAAACACGTTACTTTACCAGCAGAGAGAAAATGGATTATTAAATGATTAATGTGACTAATAAAGAGCAGTTTGATTATTAAGTATTATTCTGTTGATCGATGTCATTACATTTGTTGAAAAGCACATAAGGACTTGTTTAAGACTCGTTTTGTCAAAGTTTAGGACTTGGACTTGACTTGAACTTTCCCATCCTGACTTGAGACTTGACTTGGACTTGCAAAACAATGACTTGGTCCCACCTCTGCGCTATAGTAACTGAACGAGAGAGTAATGTCAAATGACAGTACAATTGACCAATCATATCTTCCCTCTAAATGAGTGGGTTTTATTATCGCAGACTTTATGACGAGTTCCGCCCGCTGTGAAACTTTTCTTGTTTCAACAACTTCCTGTCAACAGCGTGAACTCGCCTTCAAAATAAAAGCATGCCAAATTACACTTAAGACATTCAACTGCAACGAAAGTAACAAACACAATGCAATATCATTTTCAATGTCAAAGAACACAAATTGGGTTCCCAGGTGTTGTTTTGTGTGGTAGAGGGTCGCTGTCATTGATGCGTTTTGCACCCTGGGCCGTTGTTTTGATATTCTGCTGAAGTATACGCTGTGACGTAATAACTCTTTTTTTTTTGAGGGAAGGGGTGGGGGTCAGAGGGCCTAGGTATAAAGCTCACGGCTCGCCACTGCTACAGACACACTACAGACAGACAGGACACACACTACAGACACACTACAGACAGACAGGACACACACTACAGACACACTACAGTCAGACAGGACACACTACAGTCAGACAGGACATACTACAGTCAGACAGGACATACTACAGTCAGACTAGACATACTACAGTCAGACAGGACATACTACAGTCAGACTAGACATACTACAGTCAGACAAGACATACTACAGTCAGACAAGACACACTACAGTCAGACAGGACACACACTACAGTCAGACAGGACACACTACAGTCAGACAGGACATACTACAGTCAGACTAGACATACTACAGTCAGACTAGACATACTACAGTCAGACAAGACACACTACAGTCAGACAAGACATACTACAGTCAGACAAGACACACTACAGTCAGACAAGACACACTACAGACAGGACACACACTACAGACACACTACAGACACACTACAGTCAGACAGGACATACTACAGTCAGACAAGACATACTACAGTCAGACAAGACATACTACAGTCAGACAAGACACACTACAGACAGACAGGACACACACTACAGACACACTACAGTCAGACAGGACACACTACAGTCAGACAGGACATACTACAGTCAGACAAGACATACTACAGTCAGACAAGACATACTACAGTCAGACAAGACACACTACAGACAGACAGGACACACACTACAGACAGGACACACTACAGACACACTACAGACAGGACACACACTACAGACAGGACACACTACAGACACACTACAGACAGACAGGACACACACTACTGACATACAGGACATACTACAGTCAGACAAGACATACTACAGTCAGATAAGACACACTACAGACACACTACAGACAGGACACACACAACAGACACACTACAGACACACTACAGACAGACAGGACATACTACAGTCAGACAAGACACACTACAGGCAGATAAGACACACTACAGACACACTACAGACAGACAGGACACACACTACAGACAGACTACAGACAGACAGACCACACACTACAGACAGGACACACACTACAGACAGGACACACTACAGACACACTACAGACAGACAGGACACACACTAAAGACAGGACACACACTACAGACAGACAGGACACTCTACAGACACACTTCAGACACACTACAGACAGACTATTGGCCAAAACCAAGTCGTATTTATCTTTTAATGACTTAGAAAGGGTTATTAACGCCTTTGTTACCTCGAGACTGGACTATTGCAACGCTCTGTATGTGGGTATGGACCAGGCCTCAATTAAACGCCTGCAGCTAGTTCAGAACGCAGCTGCACGTTTGCTGACTGGCCACAAAAAGCGTGACCACATCACCCCTATTCTGGCCTCACTACACTGGCTTCCAGTTCGGTTCAGAATAGATTTTTAAATCCTTTTATTTGTTTTCAAAGCACTAAATGGGCTGGCTCCGGCCTATATAGCTGAACTCCTCCAGCGCTACACCCCAGCCAGAGCTTTAAGGTCTGCTGACCAGCTGCTGCTGGTAGTGCCCAAGACCAGGCTCAAAACCAGAGGGCACCGAGCCTTCTCAGCAGCTGGCCCTAGGCTCTGGAACACTCTGCCCCTCCATGTGAGGTCGGCCCAGACCCTAGGGGGTTTTAAATCAACACTAAAAACTCACTTCTTCTCTCTGGCTTTCTAGTCAGAGCGGAGCACGACTCCTGACTTTTCCTTGTGTTTTATTTTTAATTTTGTTTTTTATATATATCTGTTGTAATTTATTGTCGTTTATTGTGATTTGTAGTAATGTGTTTTTATTATATGTACAGCACTTTGGCTCGACCAAAAATCGCTTTTAAATGTGCTATATAAATAAAACCTGATTTGATTTGATTTGAGACAGGACACACACTACAGACACACTACAGACAGACAGGACACACTACAGACACACTACAGACAGACAGGACACACAGGACACACTACAGACAGATAAGACACACTACAGACAGATAAGACACACTACAGACACACTACAGACAGGCAGGACACACACTACAGGCACACTACAGACAGACAGGACACACACTACAGACAGGACACACACTACAGACAGACAGGACACACACTACAGACAGATAAGACACACTACAGACAGACAGGACACACACTACAGACACACTACAGACAGGACACACACTACAGACAGACAGGACACATACTACAGACAGACTACAGACAGACAGGACACACACTACAGACAGGACACACTACAGACAGGACACACTACAGACATACAGGACACACACTACAGACAGGAAACACACTACAGACACACTACAGTCAGACAGGACACACTACAGACAGGACACACTACAGACACACTACAGACACACTACAGTCAGACAGGACACACACTACAGACAGGACACACAACAGACACACTACAGACAGGACACACACTACAGACACACTACAGACACACTACAGACAGGACACACACTACAGACACACGACAGACACACTACAGTCAGACAGGACACACACTACAGACAGGACACACTACAGACACACTACAGACAGGAAACACACTACAGACACACTACAGACACAATACAGACACAATACAGACACAATACACAATACAGTCAGACAGGACACACACTACAGACAGGACACACTACAGACACACTACATACACACTACAGACAGGACACACACTACAGACACACTACATACAGGACACACTACAGACACACTACCGACACAATACAGACACACTACAGACACACTACAGACACACTACAGACACACTACAGACACACTACAGACACACTACAGACACACTACAGACACACTAAAGACACACTACATACAGGACACACTACAGACACAATACAGACACACTACAGACAGGACACACACTACAGACACACTACAGACACACTACAGACACACTACAGACACACTACAGACACACTACATACAGGACACACTACAGACACACTACATACACAATACAGACACACTACAGACAGGACACACACTACATACACACTACAGACACACTACATACACACTACAGACACACTACAGACAGGACACACTACAGACATGACACACACTACAGACACACTACAGACAGGACACACTACAGACACACTACAGACACACTACAGACACCATAAAACGTGACATCATCACCGTGATATTTGAGGAGACCCTGGCTCATAGACAGGTAGACTCACCTGCAGGTAACCATAGCAACAGTGTGTGACGGAGCTCACCTGTGCAGGTTACGTGGGTGTTGTGAACCGCAGTCAGAAGGACATCGACGGAAAGAAAGACATCAACGCAGCGCTGCAGGCGGAGAGGAAGTTCTTCCTGTCTCACCCCTCGTACAGACACCTGGCCGAGCGCATGGGGACCGCCTACCTGCAGAAGGTCCTCAACCAGGTACACACACACACACACACACACACACACACACACACACACACACACACACACACACACACACACACACACACACTTTATCTGAGGCTTTTATCCAAAGCGACTTACAATAAGTGCATTCGACCAGGAAGATACAAACTTGAAGAAAACAGAATCATATAAGTACATCAGGTTTCAAAGAGCCAAAACATTTCAAGTGCTACTCAACAGGCTTTAGATAAGCCAGTCCTTTGTTAGTATATAAGTGCTTTGTTAGTATGTAAGTGCTTTGTTAGTATATAAGTGCTTTGTTAGTATATAAGTGCTTTGTTAGTAATTCTATCGCTCGAAGTGGAGTGGAAAGAGATGAGTCTTCAGTCTGAAGAAGATGTGTAAGCTTTCTGCTGTCCTGATGTCAATGGGGAGCTCGTTCCACCATGTTGGAGCCAGGATAGCAAACCCACGTGTTTCTGCTGATGGGAACTTGGGTCCCCCTCGCAGTGCGGGTGCAGCGAGCCGTTTGGCCGATGCAGAGCGGAGTGCACGTGCTGGGGTGTACAGTTTAACCATGTCCTGGATGTAGGAAGGGCCAGATCCATTCACAGCATGGTACGCTAGCACCAGTGTCTTGAAGTGGATTCTAGCAGTTACTGGAAGCCAGTGAAGGGAGCGGAGGAGCGGCGTGGGAACATTTAGGAAGGTTGAAGACCAGACGAGCCGCTGCATTCTGGATGAGCTGCAGAGGTGGGATGGCACATGCAGGTAGACCAGCCAGGAGGGAGGTGCAGTAGTCTAGGCGTGAGATGACGAGAGCCTGGACCAGAACCTGCTTTCTGGGTCAGGAGGGGACGTATCCTCCTGATGTTGGAAAGAGTGTATCTGCAGCAGCGGGTTGTAGCAGCGATGTTTGCAGTGAAGGACAGGTTGTTATCTAGGGTCACACCCAGATTCCTTGCAGTCTGAGTCGGGGAAACAACAGAGGGGCCGATGTTGATTGTTAGATCAAGAGTGGGACAATCTTTTCCCAGAAGGAAAAGCAGCTCAGTCTTGTCAAGGTTGAGCTTGAGGTGGTGAGCAGAGATCCACTGAGAGATGTCTGCTAGACAAGCAGAGACGCGTGCGACGACCTGGGTCTCTGAGCGGGGAAAGGACAGAATGAATTGGGTGTCGTCAGCGGCGGTAGCAGTGGTATGAAAAACCATGCGGGCTAATGACTGATCCGAGCAAGTTTGTGTACAGAGAGAAGAGGAGGGGACCAAGAACAGAGCCCTGAGGGACCCCTGTAGTTAATTGACAAGGGTCGGACTCTGACCCTCTCCAAGTTACCCTGTAGGTACGGTCTTTGAGGTATGAGGTGAGGAGGGAAAGTGCAGAGCCTGAAACTCCAAGTTCTTGGAGAGTGTGAAGGAGGATCTGATGGTTCACCGTGTCGAATGCAGCAGACAGGTCCAACAGGATGATGACAGAGGAGAGGGAGGCTGCTTTAGCCGTGTGCAGTTCCTCAGAGACAGCGAGGAAAGGGGTAGAGAGAATGAAATGAAGAAGTGGTCGGATGTGTGAAGTGGGTTTACAGAGAGGTTAGAAGTAGAGCAGTTCCTTGAGAATATGAGATCAAGCACATTGCCAGCTTTATGAGTTGGTGGGGATGGAGACAGTGAGAAAGCAAAGGCGGTTAAAAGAGATGTTAGTTCAGCTATCTTCTCTGTCTGGAGGTTGAAGTCTCAGAGAAGTACAGCGGGAGGGCCAGTTTCAGGGATGTGTGAGAGGAGATGATCTAATTCCTCCAAGAAGTCCCCCAAGGCGCCTGGTGGACGGTAGAGAACAACAATGGTTCATTGTATAGGATGGGTTACTGTGACGGCATGGAATTCAAAGGAGGAAGGAGTGAAGTGAGGTAGCTTGAAGAGGGAAGAGCTCCATTTGGGAGAGAGCAGGAGACCACCTCCTCTGCCAGTGGGTCTGGGTGTATGGGTGAAGGAATATGCTGTGCAGAGAGCTGCTGGGGTGGATGTGTTGGATGGAGTAATCCAGGTCTCAGTGAGAGCAAGGAAATCCAGAGACTGCAGGGAGGCGTAGCCAGAGATGAAGTCAGCCTTAGGAACAGCTGACTGGCAGCTCCACAGGCCACCTGAAACTAGATGTTGGATCTCAGTGGAGCATGTGGGATAGACGAGAGCAGGCCGGTTATAACGATTAGGAGATACACGGGGCCAGTGATAAGTGCGAGAGGACACATGAACAGGAATGGAGAATATACACATGATTATAGCATGAGGGGCTATAAATAAAATAAATCACCAGCGATACTTAGCTCAAGCAAAGTAGGATTTGTCTCCTCTTTGCCTCCTCTTTGCCTCCTC